AACTCACAACGATCTTCCTGCCTCTGCCTCCCTAGATGCTTGAATTACAGGTGTGCACAACCACACCCAGCTTTCCACTTAACTTTTTTAATCACTTTACAGCCTGATTGCAGACCTCTCTCTCTTCTCCTCTCCATTCCACTTATGCCCTTTCCCCTCTCCTTTTCCCTTCTCAGATAAGGGTGGACCTCTCTGGGTTGTAATCCGCCCTGGCACATCAGACAAGGCACCCCATCTGGAGGCTAGGGTTCCAAAGGCAGTCAACTGAGTCAGAGAGCCTTGGGTTTTTAAGGGCTCACTGGACATGACATTATGTAAGTTTGAATCATATGATTTCTTTTATATCTGCTTGCTGTGGAAAGCTGTTAACTGATAAACTGTTCATTTCATCCCAATAATAGTGCCTGGAAGGACAGCCTCTTCCACACTTCTGGAACCAGAATTAATATTTTTCTCTTCCTATTTTTTTTTTTTTGTCAAGTCTACTAAAATATCATCTAGGCGACTTCTCAGGTACCTGTGAAGGACCCGTTTTCATGGATTCAAATTTGCCAGTCACCATTTCTTATTATTTTACACTTTACCTTAAAACGACCTCTTGCTTCTGTATTCTCTGTATATGAATATCATTTATTATTAGCACTATTATTATTATTATTTAAACCCTAATAATTTGAGTGCTCTAACAGGTTTTATTTGATGTCAGTATTGATTCTGTATTCTCTATATTAGTTTATTTGTCGCCTAGATTTTTTTTTTTTAAACGTGTGAAGCATTACCCTGGAATGTGTTTATTTTGGTCAAAATCTTGCCTTTGAGATACCTGGAAGAATCTATGATCATAATGCACTTTCTGGAGCTACTATGCTATCTTACCAACAATTCAACACTAAATATGTTTCAGGCTTCTGATAATGAAGTTTAGCATGGTGTTTTGTAGTTAATCACTTTACCAAAAGACACTTTAGAGTCTCATGGTCATTATTTATTTTGGTGTCATTTGGAGGGAGGAAGTACACACACACACACACACACACACACACACGCACATGCATATATGCATTACATATACATATATGTATATATATAATTATCAATCCTTATAAAATCTATTTATGTATACAGATTACATAATTTTAGTGATTAAAAATACGTCTAGACAAAAGAGTGAACCTTGTGTGAGGAGACAGACTACGTTGCCGCGATGACTGGCCAGCATGCCTCAGTTAAACACTGGTGTGAACCATGAGTAACACTGTCTCTCTCATGTGGCATACAGAGCAATGGCATACAGAAAGATTGTACACTTTCTGCTCAGCTTAGCTGTGAATCCAAAATTGTTCTAAGACCAGAGTTTATTAACATAAAAAAGCATGTTAAGTCAAATCTGGCTCATGACAACTAAGGCAGCGGATCTTTATCGATTTGTAATATAGGTCCAAGCCTAACCTTCACCTTCTACACTACCTCAGAGACTCAGAATATTGTACCGCAAACATCTAACCTGGACACTATTAGTAATATGCTGATTAATCAGAAGGATTTCTGAATAGCAGAAGAAATACAAACGTTGGTTAATAACATCTCTTAAGCGTTAGATGGAATGATTTAAAATTGCTGTGAGAATAGACTTATACTGTTACAATATCTTATCTTCCCTGTTTGGTGAACAATGTATCACTGTGGATGATAATGTGCCTTCATTAATTCCTGGTTTATTTTGCAACTTCTTCTCAATAATTGGATTGTGTAACAATTGGCAAATGACTTGTGATTTTTGTGGTTTGTAAGAATAGCTCACATTAGACTGAAGAAACCAACTGGTATTGAGTTGTTTTGCCTGCACTTTTGTGTCTTTTGAAGAAACAGTTCTATTATGCCCCTAGGGAAATGCATTTGTATGCACATATCAGATTTCTCCCTTAATTTTTAATCATATCCACAATGTATGTGTAATTGTTCCCTTCCAACACCTCACTAGTTACTCGGTGGCATGTGATCTGTCTTTTGAAAGATTAAAGTCTTTCTTCTTACAAGGAATAGATGTTTGTCTCTGTGCAATTATGCAAACTAGATTTCTGCCAAGACGAAAAGAAAAATTATAATTACTAGAAGGTAAAATAGTAACTACAACACAAACATTGTGCTGTGTACACAGAAAAATTCATCAGATCCTGTAATTATTTTCTTCTTATAGAATAACTGTCAAATGCACGCTTATTGCACTAGAAAAATGTGTCATTGCTTTCTTTCCTTATAACGGAAATTCACAATGTTCTGAACATTGCGTTAAAATGAATGCTGATTCACTTGCCACAGCATTCACGGGCCACCCTGCATCTTCTAAGGTCATGACTTTCATGTAATATAAAGGGGATTTTTTCTTCTTCCACTTTTATAAATGGAGAATGTGATGCTTAAAAGCTGTCTGGGAATTCAGCCAAAGAGAGAAAAGGGTTGCCGAGACTCTAGGGAGTTGAAAGAGAAGTGGCTGGCATTAGCTTGGTCCCCACTTTAGACAAAAATTAAAACAATAGACATGTACAGTAATCTCTCTTTTAAGGAAAGAATAGAATGCCTCTATAGTAATGTCAAGTGGAACAATTTGGTACTGGCCCAAGAATTGCAGCTGTTCTACAGGAAAATGGCAAAAGGCTCCTGTCCAAAGCAGGCAAACAAGGCATGATTGTTCATAAACAGTCACTGGGGCCCTCACATTTAGAACAAGGAAAACAACATTAGCATTCTGGAGGGCAGGCTACAAACAGGAGTCTCACTGCAACCTGAGCCACGCCACAGTTTTATGATTTACACCACAGAATGTGGTGCCACTTTAACACAAACCATGCACATAATAAATGATGAATTGCTCCTTCTTTAGGAAATCATATGTTGGTCAGACATACGCTTGAAAGAAACAACGGAGATTCGAACAAGAATTAAGGGTGCTGTCCAGGTTGCATATGAGACAAAATGAATGTTATCTGTTATATATTTTCGATTCTCACTTGCTCATTAGATGTGGATCAGGTAAATAGAAAAGATAATGGGAATTAACCATCTTGGGAAACAATTGAATGCTAAACGCACAGTGTCGCCTCTCAGTGATGCCAAAATAACAAAGTGGGGAATCAGGTGCAAAGCTGCCGAGTAATGGAGCGGAACTTTGGTGGTGATTACCAGGATAAATGACACAATTTCACCCTGCCCAGTGGGTGTATGTGATGCCACACTCCGCATCTTGCCTCTCGCTGTTTTAAATCTGCTTTAAAAAACAAAACCTGGTCAGTCCCTCTATTATTCTTTAATTTACTCCTTATTTTGAAATTGTTTTCAAATGTATTAATCATCCCATTCCCACTTGTTAGGTTTCCTCTTTGGAAAAGGGTGGTCTTCACATGAGTGATTCTATTCTTTCTCCAGGATGAGCTTCCTGATTAATCCTCTTCAGGTGTCTGTCTGTTCTCTGTGCTCCAGTAAAGACCTTTCTCATTATGAACATGAAGATTTCGTGTGACAAACATCAAATGGCTTCTTTCCAGTCTTCCCTTGTTTTGTGTCCTGTCTGCCTCATCTGACACAGCTGTGGATGTGGTAGAAACCAGAGAGATCTACAAGTTCAATCCTTTCAAAACAGGTTAATGCCCTCATTTACTGGAAATGATCCTTTGAAAATGGGAAGGAGTGCATAGATTTCAAGACAATCAGGAAGAACAAACAAAGCAGCAGTCTAAGCCAAAGAACAAATAAAGGAAATTGCTGGTAACTTTACTGATGGTGTCCTGGGAGTTCAAAGAAAAACGAAATAAGAAACACTGGTGAATAAATTAGAACATATCATGTGCACAATTGTAATAGTATTTTTGCTATAACCTTGCATACAATAACGATGAATGCAAAATATGATTGTTTTGACCCATTACTTATCCATGAATTAATATTCACATATGCTACATGAATTGAGATATTATTAAAAATTTGGGCAATAAAACCTGTAACAAATGTTAGTTGAATTGTATTTTGGTGAGTATTAAAGTATAAATCGAGTAGCAAACCTGACTAGGATGAAAACTGTGACTCTTTCCTGAGCCTGAGTCATTCTGCTCTGAACAACTGTGGTTTCAGCTCCAGTCCTGAAATCATCCTGAGCCTCATTCTTGAATTTACAAAGTAAATCCGGATAACAGAGTGGCAATTTAGATTCAGCAACTGAAGGAGCAGCAGACAGTAGGTGAAAGTCTTTTAAGTTTTTGACAGGAGTGAAGTGTGTGTAAATCCTGCCTTACCAATCTTAAACCTTTGTGAATAGAGGGAAAACATCGCTCACATTTCTGGGATTAAAATTTCTCTCCTGTAACATAAACAAACTTTTTTATTTCCTTTTTCTCTTTGCGTGCTGCCATTCATCAGTCTCCTCTGGGAAGGATTAGTCAGTATCTTCTGAGAAAGATAGAAATTTCAATTTGTTAAACTTTCAATAAAAATAGAAGATTATTGTACTTTGGAGTCATCTTTAATGCAAGGATGGATATTATACTTCTAAGCTTATCTCTACATAACTGAATCCCAGAGGTTCATTGAGGCACAATTGCTGAATCATATCTAAGGGAAGTGATGCACATTTCTTAAAATAACAGTTGTATAACCTCCACAGTTCATTAGTGCTATTTTAAAAAAAATGGCTCTACCATTGGAAGGTAGAGATGGCATGGTATAAGGTATAAAGAACAAAGAATATTGTATTCTATTTGAGCAAACTTGCATACATTTCTAAGCATTTCAGATATCAGCTTGAACATCAACAGGTCATTTTATTGTGTACTTATGTGTGGACTCTAAATTTATACAAACTCATTTTAGAGAACTCTGAAGGAGAAACAGTAAACACAAAAGAGCTCCTGTGTTTGACAAGAGAGGGTTAAAATGCAATGTCTACATTTACAAACTGCATTAAAGACAGATGTAAGAGTGAAAAGTTTACCATTCATTAATTCACTTACAGTGGTTTTCCTTTTGATTCACATGTCAAAGTTAAAGCCTGTCCTTCTTGTGGAAAAGGAGTGGATGGTATAATCTTAACTGATGGTGTATCTAGAAAATAAAAGAATAGAAAAATCATTAATTGCATTTTATGGATACGTTTTTTAATTAAAACATGTGTTCAGCATCTCTTATGTTTCACACACAAAGACACACACAAGCACACACACACATATGAAAGGCTGCTTTTTACCCATCTGTGTAACTTAAAAATATCTGAATATCTTAGGAGTACCTCTGAAATCTGAATTTAAATGTGACATTGCAAAAAATGAAAAAAGGTTCAGATGAATATCAAGTATTCAACACAATTGTTTCTTCAACTATTTATAGATAGCTATGAATACTATTATTGTGGAGTGAATGCATTCATGTGCATTTGAATAACAACACTTTCATTGTCACAGAACTACCAGGGACTCACAATAAGGAACCCCCAATGAACTCAAGATAAACCACTTTCTCTGAAGCATTACGCAGAGCCCTTTTGAAGAGGCAGCCCTGCAGCTCTGCACACATGCTGCTTTCCTTACGGTACACTGGACAAAACACATCAAGTTTCTGCTTATAACAGTCCTGAAAGGTAAAATTTGATTTCATATGCAACAATAAAATTGTCAAATATGTAATTGTTTCTATTTAATAAAATCAACCCTTGTGGAAATAAATTAAAAATAACCCTAGGACACCAAGGTTTAAAAATCACATGGTATGTAATATCATTTAACCAACAGGAAAGTACAAGTTTCAGAGAGGAATTGGAAAATACAGTTTAAGGATGAGAGGGACAAAATACGCAGAGTAATTTCTTTATAGTCTGTATAGAACTATGTTGTCCAGTTCTTTCCCTCATATCTCTATATACTGTACAATAAACACAATAGCTATGAACTCTCAGACTCACTCATTTTTCCTTTCCCTTCAAGCTTAATAGAAGAAAGGAACCTATATGAGGTCATAATAGTGGACTGTCTTGGAAACAATCTCAGGAAGCATCAATCAAGTCTATAATTTTTAAGTTAGTTATTTTCCTTAATGTTATAGTATTGAAATTTCCCGGCCTCTGCTTCAATACCTTGATCAGTATTGAGCCCCAAAAACTAGGCCCAGGGGTCGCTGAAGAGACTGATACCCCAACCAAGAACCCTGAGAGGGTCCCAGAACCCCTGCTCAGATGTAGTCCATGGCCCCTCAGTATCCAAGTGGGTTCCCTAGTAAGGGGAGCAGGGGCTGTCTCTGGCAGGAACTCAGTGGCAGGTTCTCTGATCAACTCCCCCTGAGGAATGCAGCATTGTCAGGCCACAGAGGAAGACAATGCAGCCAGTCCTGATGAGACCTGATAGTCTAGGGTCAGATAGAAGGGGAGGAGAACCTCCCCATCAGTGGAAAAGGAGAAAGGCATAGGGGGAGAAGAGGGAGGGAAAGTGGGATTGGGAGGCATTGAGGAACTCAGTGGGGATACAAGTGAATAAAATGTAATAAATAATAAAGGATTTTGTCTAATTTGTCTAACCCTATGTCAAGGTTTTAGTATGAGAGTAACATGTACATAGGAAGACTGAAAAAAGGAAATTGATCTCCAAAATGTGGATGGGTCCCCGCTTGATTGTATTCCTAATCAGAATAAAGAGGTAATCCTACCCTAAGCAGGAGAAGGTTCGCTGAATTTCCTTCTGTCTCTGGACTTGTTAAATTTAAATCTGACATGCCCTACAAGGGTCAAATAGTTAAAGCTTGGCCAACAACCTGTGGTAACAATGGGAGGTGACAGAAAGTTCTGAAGGCACAGATATATTTGAGAGAAGTTCTGTGGCAGGGAGTGCAGTTGTGGACATGGACACACCCTCCTCCCATACTTGTCTTCTTACTGGCTAACCTGAAGGGGACAAATATTAAAATTATTTGGGTATAAAAAACGACTAGTATCTCAGAAATGGAATTAACACAGGCTTCTTACTTTTTTTATTTTTTTATATCAATTACAGTTTATTTACTTTGTATCCCAGCTGTAGCCCCCTCCATCATTCCCTCCCAATCCCACCCTCTCTTCCTCTTCTTATCCCTGCCCCTCTCTTAGTCCACTAGGACTCCCCTCTCATCTGACCCTAGCTTATCAGATCTCTCCCGGACAAGCTGCAATGTCTTTCTCTCTGTGGCCTAGCCAGGTTGTTCCTCCCCTGGGGCGGGGGGAGGGGGGGAGGTCAAAGAACTAGACACTGAGTTCATGGTAGAGCAGTCCCTGTTTCCCTTACTAGGGTATCCACTTGGATACTGAGCTGCCATGGACTACATCTGAGCAGGGGTTCTAGGTTATGTCCATGCATGGTCCTTGGTTGGAGAATCAGTCTCAAAAAAAGATGCCACACAGGCTTTTTATAAATCCTAAACCTACGTATGTTGAAGCAGAGGAAATGAGAAACATTTGGTCCTCAGGCCATTACAACTTGGTAGAAGGCAAACATGTCAATAGCCCTCCAAGTCTGCACATTCCTGGCTCAGTTTCTGTCATTCTTGGACTCATGGCCTTCAACAATTTCAGGAAAAATTCTCTAAAATGGATCGGTTTTTACATTTATATATAAGTAATCCCTATTCTCCAGGTGGCTCAGGTTCACACACTGAACTGGGAATTCCTACAGAGTGCCTCAACTTTACCAGTTGATTTCTGTTGGATGTTTGTAAGAACCAAGTTGGCTGTCCTTGCCTTTTTGTTTACACATTCAATCACATGACTTCAGTGGTCAATACCACATGTTGTCATTTCCTTGTCTGATAGTGTGTGTATGTTTTTCTACTGCCCTTTTTCTCTTTGCTAGTTTGTTTTTAATGTTTGTTTCTTAGGCATTTTAGAGAAAGACACTTACTCAAACTAAAAGTACAAACATCATGTATCTTCCTCAGAGCTACATAGAACAAAGGACAAAGCACAACATATTTGCAGAATTTTTGCCAATTCAGTTAAAAGTTTGGTTGACTATTCTGTCTGATAACAAACGGACAGGTAGAGGTATCAGTTTATTGAGACTTCTGTCCTATTCCGAATGCAATACATTGTTTTTTGTTTTTTTGTTTTTTTTTTTAAAGCAATATTGGGTATAATTTAAGGTGTGCGAATATGTAGGAAAATATTTTTCATTACATATTATTTCTCTTATTTTTATTTGAACAATTCTGTGGTTCATTCATGAAGAATATAATTGCAATGTTAAATTGGAATCATGAAAAAGGTCACTCATTTGAAATAAAAATTTTAACTTGTGCAGTAAGGGTACTTTATGTACTACTTGATAAAAATATAAAATAAAAAAAAATCAAGGAGGAAACATTGATCCAGCAGAATGGATTTTCTGTATTTGTAACAAAGATCTTACAAAACAGTTGTTTTGAAACTACTATGAAATCACAAAATGGGCAGCCTCAAAGCACAACCCTTGAAGCATTTAGTATTACAGGTCCAACAATATCTGCCCATTACTGACAGTTTTGCAGGTTAACAAGGGGACCCTTTGAATCAAATGTTTTACCTGTGAATCCCTACCTTATTTCTTCTGTATTTAAAAAATAAAAATAAAAATTTGAGTTTATATGTAGGTAACATTTTCTTGTTAGGGATGTTGGCCAACCACAAAAGAAACTCCTAATATGTCAATCGATAGCACTGAATATATTGAGTGAAAAAAGATAATCTATAATGTAGAGCCTGAGTCAATTGCATTGTTCTAGATCTTCTGGTCTTTGGTAAAAATAAAATATTTTGATGCTACTTGTTGACAAACATATATCCTCTGACTATGCACAAATTATTTATTTATAAAATAAACATTTACATAGTTCCTAAAATTTAGAAGGTGTGGTGTTAACTTTGTTATCAGTTAATTATAACAATGTAACATAATATCAGCACGCATTGTAACGTCTTATTTTCAGTTTTCAATTTTAGCCCTAGCTTTCAGAAATGATGCTACAGGACGCTGGGCATAGCTTTCAGAAACAATGTTAATGACATCAGAGATCATTTCTTTTTTACTCATAAGTGTATTATCAGGGTGAATGTAGTTCCTATACCTCAATTAGGTGTCTTCCTAGTAAATTAATAAGGTTTTGTAATGTTCTTTTTTCAATTAATATTTGGGATCACTTTTATGTTATAGCATCAGCATCTTATTAAGGTATCTTCTTATAATAATAAAAACACTGATCAAATGCTTGGTGCATAATTCTCCTTGATGTAAATATTCCATATATTCCATATACAATGGTTCTCTAGAATCTTTTAGAAAGCACACCAGAAGGCTGGAGATGCATTTCAGTGGAGATCACTGGGTCCAATTTCTAGAATCAACAACTCCCAACAGCATTCAAGGAAAGTTGTTTTTTGTTTTTTTTTTTTCCTTGTGTGTTGTTATGAAACAAAGGCTTGGAAGGAGTGCTCCACCAGAGTTCCACAATAAACTCAGTGGCTCTCTTCCCTGATGTAAAACCAAGTGCTGGAATAAATTGGTATTTCTGTTGTCTCTTAGATAACACTAGGGATTGACACACTTCTGCCAATGCTTTGTCTTTTGTTCTGGGTCATTTACTCTTCTTTGAAATCAACTAATTATCCCGATAGTTCAGTTAGAACACAGTTTAAGGTGTGCCTCGGCCCTCTGTTATTTGTGTGTTCTAATTGGTTGATATTGACGAACAATGCACACAGTTGTTCTGTGGGTCTTCTTTTCTTTCTCATTGCTTCCCTTTCTTGTCCCTAGTTTTCATGGACAAATGAAAAATATCTTTTAAACCGTATCCGTTTTCCTCATTAATTAGAAAAGCTCTTTTCCTGAAACTTTAATAAAATGGTTCATTTGTTTGTATTTTATGTATATGTGTGTTTTCCCTGTGTGTATATGTGAGTAGCAAATGTGTGTGACACATGATTCTTGGAACCAGAAGAGGGCATTGGAGCCTCTGCAATTGGAGTGAAAGATTGTTAAGAGCCTCCATATGGAAAAAAAAAAAAGAAAGAAAGAAAGAGAGATGGAGTTGACTGAGGCAACTGGAAATTATTG